TCAATCAGCCTTTTAATCAATCAGTCGTTCAATCGGTGATATCAAGTCATTAATAGCAGCTAACATATGCTTTAAATGCTTTAACAAGAAAACTGCTAATAGTTACTAATAATTTCCAGTTATACCAACAACAGCAGCGACAACAAAACCAACAACAAGACCAACGAAGGCACCGACAACAGTACCGACAACGGTACCAACTACAGAACCAACAACAACACCTACGAAGGCACCGACAACAGTACCGACAACGGTACCAACTACAGAATCAACAACAACACCTACGAAGGCACCGACAACAGTACCGACAACGGGACCAACAACAGAACGAACAACAGCACCGACGACGGGAACGACAACGGGACCGACAACAAAGCTAACAACAGTACCGACAACGGTACCAACAACAGAACAAACTACAGCCCCGACGACGGGAACGACAACAGCACCAAGTACAGCACCAACAACAGAAGTCGAAACAAGTAAGTGCAATTCACATTAATCATTACTCGGCAGCTTCTATTTATTTTAAGAGATGTCTAAGTTAAACCACGCCATTAGAGCTGATCTCGTATGACTTTGAAAAGGACACGTCACATTTACGGAATCTTTGGCTGGTAATGATCCAAGCTAAAAATAAGGAATCAAGATTATACTACCGTCACGGCACGGTAGAGACACGACAGGAAAGTGCAGTTTTTTTTTTGAAAAATCCCATCTAGTGCGTATCGCCCAACAAGGGCCAATTGTCATGCCATCAACACCATCACATGATAGTGAACCCTTTATCCATATAAGATAGGATGAACGTCTTTCAATACACTAGCTAGATGCATGACAATTGATCGGTTCGCAAAATTATTAAGTTCAGCCTAAATTTCCTGAGGTTGAACAGCGCTATCCACCGGAAAAGTCATTATTCAGTGGACATGCAAAATCTTAAAGGGCCACTTGGACGAAAATTACGAAACATTAGAAAAGACTTGGAAATCAAATAGACCTATCCATATGGGTCTATTAATCATGAAGCACCAGATTTCAAGAAGATATTAATACAAATACAATTTGATAATTTAGGCAAAAAATGTTGGAGTAAATGACGTCATTTACTCAATCCTTTTGTTCTTCCATCTTTTGAATCAAAAATTGCTCTTATGTGGGATTATTCCAAAACAAATATTTTCCCGCAATTGTTTTTAATAGATATAAATGAGTCATATTTTTGTATTGCTTGAAGTTTTGAAATAAGGCCATTTTCATGCAAGTAGCACTTTAACAGTGGATAAATTTAAGCGGCTGACAATTTCCCCCCCTCTTACAACCACGTATTACACTACTACACGGCTAGCCTACGCTATTCTTAGAACAGGTAACTAGAATTAAAGTCGTCAGTCTGACAGGTGCTTTGTTGGCGATGAAAGGTTTGCCATGGATTCGGATAGTATTCCAACCAAAACATCTCGTCAACCAAGAACGTAGCGCCATCTAATGTTGATGAATCTGATTGTTGATACAACCTTGTGACTTTAAGAGAATGGATAAATCTGCTTAGTACCCAGTAATTTGAATATTGATATCTCAGAAACTATTGTACGTAAAATGGCTTG